TAGATAGATAGATAGATAGATAGACAGATAGATAGATAGGATACATTGTTTTATAAAATGAGAGAACCCACATAAACATGCATCGGAAAGAGCACAAGTGATATTTGTATATGTGCACACAATTTTTTTTGGAGGGGAAAATGTGTGGAAGAGCCCATGTTTGATGATTTCGGATTAACTGTAGGGAGTGTGTCTGTCAGTGCTTCAGCACTGGTTCCGTAGTGGTGGCAGGATACTGTCATTGGAGGACGTCCGGTTTTCCAGAAAACGGATCAGCAGTGGTGCTGCGCTGAGTCTGCACATTGAGGCCTGTAATTTCTGTCTGTTTACTGGTGGTGGTTACGTGGTTAAGGAAAACGTATATCGTGTTCAATGAAGTGGGACGGCTCTGGAGGCATGGCAGAGTTAACAGGCATTGTTATGCATCGTGCAGCATGTTGAAGCCGGGATGAGTGTGGTGGAGCATGCTTTTTGTTGTGTGGTAGTAGTAGGATCGCTCCCTGCGTGGAACAAAAAGGGGAGTTCGCGAAAGTGAAGGAGAGCAACGTGCACTTCGGGCAGTCATAACGGAAACGTGTTTGTTTGTTTTCTTGTGCAGGACGTAGCGGAGCTCCCGTGGATGGTGACGCGGCCGCGGCAGGTCTTCGACGATTCGGACAAATATGAGGAGGCAGGAGGCGTGTGTGGTGGATCGTTGGCGAATTGGGAGACCAGTAAGGGTTGTGAGGACAAGGTAATTTTTGTTGCACATATGTCACAGCACTTGGTGTTGTAGACCAAGCAGGATCGCGATCTTCGTGTTCAGCTGGTGCATCCAGCAACATCAGACCCCGAGATCGAAGTAGAGGTCTGCTTGGACATGTGCTTGCCAGGTGTGATGCGTGGATGATCCATGAGTCATAAGGATTGTTGGTGGCTCCATTTCTAGCACAGTCATCGTGAATGTAACTCCAGTAGCTGTTTAGCGGAGTCATTGCAACAAACCGTGTGCGCAGGTCGCGGTCCTCCTTGCAAGAGCCGGGCAAGGTGAAAGAGGCCGGCTTTCAGATTAGAGTCATATGCTTTTTGAGCATGGCAGGCTGGTGTCATGAACATAACCGAGAAATGAATTTGTTGGTCATGGAGAAACGGTCATAAGGAATGGTTTGGTTTAAGGTAATGTCTACAGGCAACCATAGATTGTCCCATTAAATACGAGGCTTGTCCTGTGAATTTGTTCTGTAAGCCAATGCATTGACTCAGTGTGAAGTAGCTAACTTTGACCTGTATTGTATCAGATTATTCTATTCTGTTGCCTATCTCAACAGACGGTGATTGCAATCACGGCAAAGCATGTCATCAATCTGGAGGTTCAGGATCCCATAAGACGATCGACCAATTCATTGCAACCCCTCGCTGATCCATTCATTGTGATCACTCTTCCATGACAGGAGCAGCACTTGAGAGTCCTCCAGTTGAGCGTTCGCAGTTGAAACCCGGGTTAATCTCGGGAGCACAGGTGTCTAGAGCTAGCAGAAAGGAGATGGAACAAATTCTTGGAGAGAAGACCACTCAGGTTGTTGACATGGACGAAAAACACAGAGTCACAAGAGCAACGAAATGGGTAGGAGCATTGCAGCCTACGGCCTGGATTGCGCAAGTATCAGTGTGGCGATGAACCTACAGTATTGTACAATATCAATGCTTTTATTCTTCAGAGACATACTTCTATTGGGTCTATTGGAACGGGACGTGTACTTGTTCCGAACCCTTTTGCATACAAACTTTGAAGATTGTGTAGCTTGTCGCTGCTCTGGGCAGATTTTTGTGGCGAAGAGAATGGGCTTATTGGGCCGTTGTCGATTGAGCTTCCGAGCAGTGAAGAGTTTGAAGTTTTATTTGTTTCCATCTTTTTGGGCTTGCAATCCGTTTTCGAATATAGTCCTTTTATCCCCATTCCATCTGAACTATTTGTATGATTCAGATTCAGATTCATAGAGTGCAGCTTAATCATGGTTGATCACAGCTGCTGCTTGGATCCATCGAGTTCTGCCACGGCTCCGTGAGACCCGGGCGACTTGGCGTTTTGCGTAAGGCATTTCGACATGGATGGATCGGAAGCTATCAGATCGCATGAATCTTATGTTGTATTAATCTGCATTGTTTATGCCTGATGTTTCTGAGATGCAAGGTGGAATGCACAGTGATGTGTAGTGGGAAAGCAGTTGAATCCACAAGACACGGTTCTGAGATGTTATGTTATGGGCTTACTTCCGGACTTCATCTTGTCCAACTGGTTGTCCAACTGGCTGCATCTGGGCATGGCCAGCAATTTCCGAGTGAAACGTCCAAGTGACGTCGCTCAAAAACACATGGCCCTGAAGGACGGACCGGGCCTGCGGGCAACGGCCCCCACTGCCTAACGTTGCTTTCTGAACCTACACGAAAACTAGCTGTCTTCCAGCCGCCAACAAGGCTCACAAACGGCGCCCTCGCCACAGCGAAACAGCAGCGCCCTGAGGGACGGACCGAGCCCGCGGCAGCGAAACAGCAGGGCCCTGAAGGACGGACCGGGCCTGCGGGCAACGGCCCCCACTGCCTAACGTTGCTTTCTGAACCTACAAGAAAACTAGCTGTCTTCCAGCCGCCAACAGGCTCACAAACGGCGCCCTCGCCACAGCGAAACAGCAGGGCCCTGAAGGACGGACCGGGCCTGCGGGCAACGGCCCCCACTGCCTAACGTTGCTTTCTGAACCTACAAGAAAACTAGCTGTCTTCCAGCCGCCAACAAGGCTCACAAACGGCGCCCTCGCCACAGCGAAACACATGGCCCTGAAGGACGGACCGGGCCTGCGGGCAACGGCCCCCACTGCCTAACGTTGCTTTCTGAACCTACACGAAAACTAGCTGTCTTCCAGCCGCCAACAAGGCTCACAAACGGCGCCCTCGCCACAGCGAAACAGCAGCGCCCTGAGGGACGGACCGAGCCTGCGGTAGCTGTCTTCCAGCCGCCAACAAGGCTCACAAACGGCGCCCTCGCCACAGCAGAACAGCAGGGCCCTGAACCTTCAAGAAAACTAGCTGTCTTCCAGCCGCCAAGGAAGCTCACAAACAGAGCCCTCGCCACAGCGAAACAGCAGGGCCCTGAAGGACGGACCGGGCCTGCGGGCAACGGCCCCCAGTGCCTAACGTTGCTTTCTGAACCTACAAGAAAACTAGCTGTCTTCCAGCCGACAACAAGGCTCACAAACGGCGCCCTCGCCACAGCGAAACAGCAGGGCCCTGAAGGACGGACCGGGCCTGCGGGCAACGGCCCCCACTGCCTAACGTTGCTTTCTGAACCTACACGAAAACTAGCTGTCTTCCAGCCGCCAACAAGGCTCACAAACGGCGCCCTCGCCACAGCGAAACAGCAGCGCCCTGAGGGACGGACCGAGCCCGCGGCAGCGAAACAGCAGGGCCCTGAAGGACGGACCGGGCCTGCGGGCAACGGCCCCCAGTGCCTAACGTTGCTTTCTGAACCTACAAGAAAACTAGCTGTCTTCCAGCCGACAACAAGGCTCACAAACGGCGCCCTCGCCACAGCGAAACAGCAGGGCCCTGAAGGACGGACCGGGCCTGCGGGCAACGGCCCCCACTGCCTAACGTTGCTTTCTGAACCTACACGAAAACTAGCTGTCTTCCAGCCGCCAACAAGGCTCACAAGCGGCGCCCTCGCCACAGCGAAACAGCAGATCCCTGAGGGACGGACCGAGCCTGTGGTAGCTGTCTTCCAGCCGTCACAAACGGCGCCCTCGCCACAGCGAAACAGCAGGGCCCTGAAGGACGGACTGGGCCTGCGAGCAACGGCCCCCAGTGCGTAACGTTGCTTTCCGAACCTTCAAGAAAACTAGCTGTCTTCCAGCCGCCAAGGAAGCTCACAAACAGAGCCCTCGCCACAGCGAAACAGCAGGGCCCTGAAGGACCGACCGGGCCTGCGGGCAACGGCCCCCACTGACCTACAAGAAAACTAGCTGTCTTCCAGCCGCCAACAAGGCTCACAAACGGCGCCCTCACAACAGCAAAACAGCAGGGCCCTGAAGGATGGACCGGGCCTGCGGGCCACGGCCCCCACTGCCTAACGTTGCTTTCTGAACCTACAAGAAAACTAGCTCTCTGAGCTGTCTTCCAGCCGCCAAGGCTCACAAACGGCGCCTTCGCCACACCAAACAGCAGGGCCCTGAAGGACGGACCAGGCCTGCGGGCCACGGACCCCACTGCCTAACGTTGCTTTCTGAACCTACAAGAAAACTAGCTGTCTGAGCTGTCTTCCAGCCGCCAAAACTCACAAACGGCGCCCTAACATTCTCAACCTACAAGAACGCTAGCTGTCTCAGCTGTCTTCCAGCCACCAAGGCTCACAAACGGCGCCCTCGCCAGACCGAAACAAACTAGCTGTCTCGGCTGTCTTCCAGCCTGCAGGCCCCTTCGCTCTTGCTTCTGTTTACAAGAACGCTATCTGTCTCAGCTGTCTTCCAGCCACCAAGGCTCACAAACGGCGCCTTCGCCAGACCGAAACAAACTAGCTGTCTCGGCTGTCTTCCAGCCTGCGGGCCCCTTCGCTCTTGCTTCTGCTTCTTACGTCTTGAGCTGCCATGTCTCCTTCGCTCTTCCGTCTTATCCTTTGATCCTTCGCTCTTGCTTCTTACTTCTTGTTTCGTCCGCGTCGACACTTGTTGCTGGCCATCTCTTCTCTGACGCGCTCCCCCTGCTGTCGGCAGGGGTCGGCGGATATATAGATATATAGATATAATTGTATAATATATATATATATAAATAATTATGTAATATATATATATAATATAATATAATATAATATAATACAATACAATATAATATAATATAATATAATAATATATATATATATATTATTATATATATATTGAAAGTTTTTGTCCAACAATGTGGAAATACCAATGCCTTCCCAACACAAATCAACCTTTGTTGGTGCACTACATTGGTCTTGGAATTCGACCCTGGAGGTGACGAGAGTCCCACTGCAGTGGTCCGAAAACCATCTTCTATGTCTAACATCGCAAGTCCCTTAGACGCTTGGCAAAGTCCTTGGCTTCCTCGCTGAAGCGGACTGGGCCAGGCCAACTTGGGTTGGGAACTTACATTCATGATATTTCATGATCATTTATTTATAGATAGTATAGATTCAAGATGGTGCAAGTCACCAAACTGTAACAACTAATTTCTTAGAAACTTGGCCGGGGAGAAGAGATAGTACCGCTGGGAATCAGGAATGAATCTCTCTGAGACGTGTTCTTTTTGATTTCTAACACCTGGCTGTGGATTTCCAAAGGATCTGATTCGCTCATGGGGCAGCTCCAAAGAGAGCCTGGTCTCGGTTTCTGGGCCGCAGTTCAGGGCTGTTGCTTCATGTTGCTTCAAAGTCATCCATCAACACGTGTTATCCATATCATCCAACATCCATTTCACATCATTTTGTCAAGTCTTCATCTGAAGCAGATTGAGTTTCTCTTGAGTTGTCATCTCCGTTGTCCTAAGTCCTGGTTCATGATGTTCATGGACGCACCGAGGTTGCCTTGTTCCTTGTATGCCTTGCACTTGATCGCATCCATCCTCATACAAAGCCTCAGCTGAGCCCTGGTAGCAATCCTCTTTCTCTTTCCTTGTACCTCCTTGCTATGACGAGTGTCCTACAGCTGACTATTCCTTTCAAAATTCAAAAAAGATCAGCTCGTGTTCCTTGGAGTCTTTCTTGCAGTGTCCTGGCGACAGTTGATTCATCTTGAAGCGCTTCATCAGGAATTCCTATTCCTATTTCACTTTGTTTGTGGCGACCTTAGATCTTCAACGGATTTGATCTCGCAGGAGTTTTGCAAAACCTGAATTCCACAGACATTTACGGATTGACATATAAGGAGCCGTCCCAACCGAACCCATGGAACCAGAACTCTGGAATGGGTACACTTTGTAACGTGTTTCTACCAAACCTGCTACCCTTCAAACATTCAGTTGTGACACATGGCGGACATTCTGCCTGACCCTGCCTTACTGCCTTGGATATCAGACCTACTTTGAACATAAAGAAAGGGTGTCGCATTCTTCACCGGGATCCCTTTTGGAGTGGTTATAAATTGTTCTACAATTGGCTTGAGGGTATGTTTTTTTTTGTTTTGTAATCAGAGTATTTCGCCAGTTGCGCTAGCGACTTGCCTGCCAACCGGTCTGTTTTTGTTCGTCAGTGAACGGTGTGGTGATAGTAGCAGTAGGCGATAGTAGGCGGAGGAGTAGCAGGGGCGTGGTAAGTCTTGAGGTAAGTCTTGAGGTTGGTAAGTCTAGAAGTCAAGATTTACATGTAAAAAAACAGCTGGTTCCTTTTCGGTTGCTTTTCTCCACTTGTGCTTTACCAAACTTCGCGCAGCCTAGGTCACCTTGGAGTCCCTTTGGCTGCTGCTGATGCAATGCCAAGCAGATGTGGTGCTCATCAGTGCTACACTGGTCCTAAGGCCCCAACCTTTGACGGTTGCGAATGGAAGCCATATGAAGCCATCAACATCTTTTCATATTTTTTAATGCTTAGATGTGGTCTGACATGATATTAGATCAAAATTAATATTAAATATATTAATTAATTAGCTTTCTTATGATTCTTCAGAATATCCCATCTATTTTACAGCTAGGCTCACTGCGATCAGTCGCTGGTGGTTCTCTAGGCTCGCCGGGGCTCTGGACAACGACCGAGATGCATGGGGTGGCTTTAGCGCCTTGGCTCAAGGGACGGTCCCTTAAATCAGCCAGGCCTGGTTCCAGACGAATAGATCTCAGTCACGAGCAAGTAGAAACCATAGTGCTGACAGGTATTGATAGTACACATCATGATAGTATATCAGTATATATATATGTTAGAGAGACCTTTCTGTACTATTTGACGCCTTTACTAATCTTCATTATTTTAAAGTACAAGAAAATATATAAAATAAATATTTATTTTCTTTATTTTCTTTATTGTCCTGAAGCCTCAAAAAGAAAATAAAGAAAATAAAGATTTATTTTCTTTATTTTCTTTATTTTCCTGGAGCCTCAAAAAGAAAATAAAGAAAATAAAGAAAATAAAGATGTATTTTCTTTATTTTCTTTATTTTCCTGGAGCCTCAAAAAGAAAATAAAGAAAATAAAGAAAATAAAGATTTATTTTCTTTATTTTCTTTATTTTCCTGGAGCCCCAAAAAGAAAATAAAGAAAATAAAGAAATTAAATCTTTATTTTCTTTATTTTCTTTATTTATTTTCTTTATTTACTTTTCCAGGTGTCCAGCACGATGGAATCTATAGAAAATAAAGATTTATTTTCTTTATTTTCGTTATTTTCCTGGAGCCTCAAAAAGAAAATAAAGAAATTAAAGAAAATAAAGATCTATTTTCTTTATTTTCTTTATTTTCCTGGAGCCTCAAAAAGAAAATAAAGAAAATAAAGAAAATAAAGATTTATTTTCTTTATTTTCTTTAATTTCCTGAAGCCTCAAAAAGAAAATAAAGAAAATAAAGATTTATTTTCTTTATTTTCTTTATTTTCCTGGAGCCTTAAAAAGAAAATAAAGAAAATAAAGAAGTGAATCTTTATTTTCTATAGATTCCATCCTTCTGGGCACCTGCAAAAGTAAATAAAGAAAATAAAGATTTATTTTCTTTATTTTCTTTATTTTCCTGAAACCTCAAAAAGAAAATAAAGAAAATAAAGAAAATAAAGAAAATAAAGAAAATGAAGATTTATTTTCTTTATTTTCTTTATTTTCCTGGAGCCTCAAAAAGAAAAGAAAGAAAATAAAGAAAATAAAGATTTATTTTCTTTATTTTCTTTATTTTCCTGGAGTCTCAAAAAGAAAATAAAGAACATAAAGAAATTAAATCTTTATTTTCTTTATTTTCTTTATTTACTTTTCCAGGTGTCCAGCACGATGGAATCTATAGAAAATAAGAATTTATTTCCTTTATTTTCTTTATTTTCCTGGAGCCTCAAAAAGAAAATAAAGAAAATAAAGATTTATTTCCTTTATTTTCTTTATTTTCCTGGAGCCTCAAAAAGAAAATAAAGAAAATAAAGATTTATTTTCTTCATTTTCTTTATTTTCCTGGAGTCTCAAAAAGAAAATAAAGAAAATAAAGAAATTAAATCTTTATTTTCTTTATTTTCTTTATTTACTTTTCCAGTTGTCCAGCACGATGGAATCTATAGAAAATAAAGATTTATTTCCTTTATTTTCTTTATTTTCCTGGAGCCTCAAAAAGAAAATAAAGAAAATAACTCTTTATTTTCTATAGATTCCATCCTTCTGGACACCTGGAAAAGTAAATAAAGAAAATAAAGAAAATAAAGATTTATTTTCTTTATTTTCTTTATTTTCCTGGTGTCTCAAAAAGAAAATAAAGAAAATAAAGAAATTAAATCTTTATTTTCTTTATTTTCTTTATTTACTTTTCCAGTTGTCCAGCACGATGGAATCTATAGAAAATAAAGATTTATTTCCTTTATTTTCTTTATTTTCCTGGAGCCTCAAAAGTAAATAAAGAAAATAAAGAAAATAAAGATTTATTTTCTTTATTTTCTCTATTTTCCTGGAGCCTCAAAAAGAAAATAAAGAAAATAAAGAAAATAAAGATTTATTTTCTTTATTTTCTTTATTTTCCTGGAGCCTCAAAAAGAAAATAAAAAAAATAAAGAAAATACAGATTTATTTTCTTTATTTTCTTTATTTTCCTGGAGTCTCAAAAAGAAAATAAAGAAAATAAAGAAATTAAATCTTTATTTTCTTTATTTTCTTTATTTTCTTTATTTTCTTTATTTACTTTTCCAGGTGTCCAGCACGATGGAATCTATAGAAAATAAAGATTTATTTTCTTTATTTTCTTTATTTTCCTGGAGCCTTAAAAAGAAAATAAGGAAAATAAAGAAAATAAATCTTTATTTTCTATAGATTCCATCCTTCTGGACACCTGGAAAAGTAAATAAAGTAAATAAAGAAAATAAAGAAAATAAAGAAAATAAAGATTTATTTTCTTTATCTTATTTATTTTCCTGAAGCCTCAAAAAAAATAAAGAATATAAAGAAAATAAAGATTTATTTTCTTTATTTTCTTTATTTTCCTGGAGCCTCAAAAAGAAAATAAAGAAAATAAAGATTTATTTTCTTTATTTTCTTTATTTTCCTGGAGCCTCAAAAAGAAAATAAAGAAAATAAAGAAATTAAATCTTTATTTTCTTTATTTTCTTTATTTTCTTTATTTTCTTTATTTACTTTTCCAGGTGTCCAGCACGATGGAATCTATAGAAAATAAAGATTTATTTCCTTTATTTTCTTTATTTTCCTGGAGCCTCAAAAGTAAATAAAGAAAATAAAGAAAATAAAGATTTATTTTCTTTATTTTCTCTATTTTCCTGAAGCCTCAAAAAGAAAATAGAGAAAATAAAGAAAATAAAGATTTATTTTCTTTATTTTCTTTATTTTCCTGGAGCCTCAAAAAGAAAATAAAGAAAATAAAGACAATAAATCTTTATTTTCTATAGATTCCATCCTGCTGGACACCTGGAAAAGTAAATAAAGAAAATAAAGAAAATAAAGATTTATTTTCTTTATTTTCTTTATTTTCCTGAAGCCTCAAAAAGAAAGAAAATAAAGAAAATAAAGATTTCTTTCCTTTATTTTCTTTATTTTCCTGAAGCCTCAAAAAGAAAATAAAGAAAATAAAGATTTATTTTCTTTATTTTCCTGGAGCCTCAGAAAGAAACTAAAGAAAATACAGAAAATAAAGATTTTTTTTCTTTATTTTCTTTATTTTCTTTATTTACTTTTCCAGGTGTCCAGCAGGATGGAATCTATAGAAAATAAAGATTTTTTTTTATTATTTTCTTTATTTTCCTGGAGCCTCAAAAAGAAAATAAAGAAAATAAAGAAAATAAAGATTTATTTTCTTTATTTTCTTTATTTTCTTTATTTACTTTTCCAGGTGTCCAGCAGGATGGAATCTATAGAAAATAAATATTTATTTTCTTTATTTTCTTTATTTTCCTGAAGCCTCAACAAAGAATATAAAGAACATAAAGATTTTTTTTCTTTATTTTCTTTATTTTCTTTATTTACTTTTCCAGGTGTCCAGCAGGATGGAATCTATAGAAAATAAAGATTTATTTTCTTTATTTTCCAGAAGCCTCAAAAAGACAAAGAAAATAAAGATATATTTTCTTTATTTTCTTTATTTTCTTTATTTACTTTTCCAGGTGTCCAGCAGGATGGAATCTATAGAAAATAAAGATATGTTTCTTTATTTTCTTTATTTTCCTGGAGCCTCAAAAAGAAAATAAAGAAAATAAAGAAAATCAAGATTTATTTTCTTTATTTTCTTTATTTTCTTTATTTACTTTTGCAGGTGTCCAGCAGGATGGAATCTATAGAAAATAAAGATTTATTTTCTTTATTTTCTGTATTTTCCTGGAGCCTTAAAAAGAAAATAAAGAAAACAAAGACAATAAATCTTTATTTTCTTTATTTTCTCTATTTTTTTGATTTTCTTTATTTACTTTGCCAGGTGTCCAGCAGGATGGAATCTATAGAAAATAAAGATTTTGTTTCTTTATTTTCTTTATTTTCCTGAGGCCTCAAAAAGAAAACAAAGAAAATAAAGATTTATTTTCTTTATTTTCCTGGAGCCTTAAAAAGAAAATAAAGAAAATAAAGAAAAACATATTCATTTTCTTTATTTTTCTGGAGCCCCAAAAAGAAAATAAAGAAAATAAATCTTTAGTTTCTATAATTTTCATCCTGTTGGACACCTGGAAAAGTAAATAAAGAAAAGAAAGACAATAAAGATCTATTTTTTTGATTTTCTTTATTTTCGGGAAGCCTCACCCCCTTTCCGCCTGTTTTTTCTTTGTAGCTGGAGAGGGGGAGAGGGCAAGAAAATGTCGTGAAGCGGTGAGGCAAAGCGTACAGTGTCGAGAAATCCAAGAGGTGGAGAATCCAATGGGTGTAGAGAAAAGGGGAAAAAAGGAGAAACACGCGCGGAATGGTATCAATGGGACAGATATTGGCACATACGGAAAAGTAATGAAAAGCATACAATTTAATATGGCAACACCCAAAATCTTCATAATTAGGTTTATAATAAGTCATCCCCAAATGTTAGGTTCCTTTTTGGCTTTACCATCTTAGAATTGCCTGCGGGGCTAAATGCCTTAGTCCACTCTATGCTTTGTAATGGCACTGCTGCTTTTGGATCATGTCTTAAGAGAATTATTCCAACGAACATTGAAAAGTATGTCCAAAAGAAAGTAGACAGCCATTTTAATTTTGATCTTTGCAAGCAAATATAAGAGTGGATGTGCAACACGGCTTGCGAAATCGAAGCAGCCACTCAGCCACTCAGCCACTCTGGCAGAGCGGCTGGACCAGCCACTCTGGCAGAGCGGCTGGACCAGCCACTCTTACCAGAGCGTCTGCGTGGCTGAGTGGCTGAGTGGCTGCACCAAGCCACTGTGGCAGAATGTCTCAGTGGGTGAATAGCTAGTGCAGCTTAGCCAATGGAGTGTAAGCAGTATTACCCAGACCTAATTTTCCTTAGGTCTGGGTAGTTTTTCAAGTGAGGTTTTATGCTAATTTAGGGTTTCTTCCTTTATCTTGTAGGCACTGGGGCATATATTCTTATGGATTGAATGGAATTTTATGCAAACATCTGTGTTAAAGGGTTGTGAGAAAGAAGTCATTAGCTATT